TCATATTGTGGCTACCTATATTCTAGCAAAGCCAACATGAAAACTTCAATCCACAGGTAGTGTGGAATATAGGAATACTCTTTCTGGTCCCCAAGAATAAGCATTTTAATTGAATGTGAGAGCTCCGAGTTATTTTTTACATACCTTAAAGCTAAGAAAGGAAAATGCATAAATTAGAGACATGCAATAACAAGAAATGGAAATACATACTAATGTAACTTACTCCAGTTCGAAAATAAAGGTCCTGTGATGTTATCCCAGCCAATAACTGAAGGAACAGTTATTACAGGGCTTTCAGTAAAAGAAGTTCTCCCTTCTAAGATATACATCCCCTGCTCTGCATTCACAGGAGTCTCTGTAGACACTTCCATGTAAGTCAGTAGTGTACAAGCACAATAAATAGGCAAGAGCCAAATTCAAACTGTTCACCAAGAAATGTGATTTTGTGTGAAAAAGCCTATGCATCTATGACACAGGGGAAATCACAAAACCAAAGGTCTCTAGCAGCAGGAAGTATTTAGGATTAGGGAAGCAATGTCTTCCCAATACTTCTAATATTTCCTTTTCAATGCATTTTCAGTTCTGCCCTGCCCTTATTCTCTCTACGGATCACGTACAGCTAACATGTACAACTAGAATGGATCGACAAAAGAAGATATTGCTGACAGGAACCATTTTCCTCACCTGTTTCTGTACCAGTGTATATAGGACAATTTTTCCTGTTTTATGATTTTCTTTCTCTTCATTTTTCTTTACCAGGACTTTTCCCCTGAGTTTTCTTGTTTGGAACAGCTCCATCCTATTTCCTTACCACTTAACCCCCATTTCTTTTCTATATCACAAGCCATCTCTTCCCTTTTCACACATAATGATAATTGCTGCTACTTGTAACCACACAACTCCTGTTGTTTTCATAATCTAAACCTATGTCTCTTGAGCTTCTAAGAAAACCAGTAGCGGGTCTCTATTATCAAAAGCAAATGAAAGTCAGAGGCTATCAGCAGATTACAGCTGTGCCTCTTTTTTAGACTGAGAATATTCTGATCTATGAATATTATACTTAGTATTTTATGCAACTTTGGCATGTCTTGAATATAGGAGTGAAATATAATATAAAAAGCCCTTTTTTTTCAGCTTTGAAGTTATTAGGTTCTGTTGTGTAAAACTTGGCATACACTAATAAGTAAACCTTTCCCTGATAGATAACAGCTCCTTTCTTTCTCCAGCTCCCACTCGATGGAAGGATTATGCACTCAGTCAACCCTAATGGCTCACACTAACACAAACCAATCTATTGTATCTATTTTACTCCATGTACACATACTGAGTCCACGTGCCAAAATCTGTACAATGATAAGCAAGCAAATACATTAAATTAAACTGTTCAGATTCTTCTCTGCAGACCCCCAAAGACTCACAGCATGAATAGTTATATTTAATTAAATATACAATCTATTACCTCTAAAAGCATATATTTCCTGGGTAAAAGAAAAAAATAAATATATCTCTCTCCCTATGGAACATTTCTTTCTCTTTTCAAGACATCCTGTACCAGAATCCCAGAATAGCCACAGACCAAGGAAGAGGGAAAAAAAAAAAAAAAGTGTTGACCTATTTAATAAGGAATAAGCCAAGGCATTGACAACCACCACATGACTGACATTACCCTTAGAAATCCCCAGGTCTTATCCAGATAGATCAAATGCACAACATGTTATACAGATTCTTTGGTGGTGTCTAGGGAAGAAAATTTATTTATGTACTTCTTAGTGAATATGTACCATTTTTTTAAAACACTTTATGAGGGAACTATTGGGAGGAAAGGGGAGAAAATTAGAATGGAAAACAGTCTTAGTTGCTGTGTTGTCAAGGGGTCTACTCTAATAATTAGCTAGGGAGATGAAAATGTGGAAATGTGACAGCCCAGCTAGCATTGGTTATTTAAAAAATAAATAAATAAAAAATTTTAAAAATGAAAGAAACTATTAAGCTATCTGGAAATACTATTTTACAATGAGTGGTTAGTACTAAGGAAAAGGAAGCTAAGAAGAAAGTTCAAGTACAGTAAGAAACACCTGGAAACTATCTTGAGAACATTGTATTAGACTCACTGCAATATAGCTAATCTTATGCAAGATCAAATTCATTAGCCCAGGAAAACCATTTTAGTGGTTCTCACACCTCTCCATGTTTGGTTTCCATTGTTACCCAAGTAAGGGAAACCTTAAGAAAATCTACAGTGTAACTAGCATAAAGCATACACTCAACAGTACTGCAGGGCCTGGTTCAGAGAGGTGAGTGGAATTAGCCATAATCATTACTGCAGTGCATAAAATCATTACCTGATGTATATTATTTCTTTGCAAAACACAAAAAAAATAGTCCAAATAGTCATGACACTTGTCAACAACCACATATGCCTGAAGCTCTCACTGTTCTCATGTGCATTCAGTGGATTCCCCAGAGCTGTAAAGAATTATGTTCACAAGTACCAGTACTTAGAAAGCATTTTCAAAAACTAAGATTTATGCCAGTTCAAGGTTCTGACTACAAAAGATCAAAACAGCTTACAGTTTTGACTCCGTTGCATACAAGAAATATTTGGAAGGCAGGTGTTACTCTGAGTTTGTTACAATGTGAAGTATTTGTCTACTCTTTAAGAATTCAAAGTGAACAATAATATTCTTGAACATCCTAAAGGCACATTTACTTTCTAGAACAGTGACTCTAAATTATCCTGTTCAACAAAGTAAAAACTTCATGATTTAATTCATGACACTGGAGACTACAGGCCTTCTGCCTGTAGAGTGGCACAAGTGTATGTGGTAGTGGAATCTGTGAAGACTGGAAGAGAAATGTAAGGATGATAATTTTAAAGTAAGTTAACATTGGAATTTACAGAAATGATCTCACAGTAAACACCTATGATCGTTTAGCCTTCCTCCCAGGGCAAAAGTTTGATTCCATTAACATTAATACATGACCCCAGGCGATGACTTGCCTTTATCTCAAGTGGTGACTGCCATGATTCCAGGCAAACCAACAGCAAGCCCACAGCTCAGCAAATAAGTCCATAAATGAGAAAGATTCTTTCTGTGTCTCTCATTATCTCAGAAGGTTTTGCATCAGCTAGCATCCAATGGTATTCCTCCTGGTTTCTAGCCCAAATTCTAGTGACTTCGCAAAGAAAAAGTTAAGTACCAACTATTTTGTTGTCTGCTTGCATGTCTCTCTGCTCATCTATTTCAGGCCCACCAGGGCACATAAGTACTTGTTATGCTATGGAGATTATTGTAAAATGAACTGTTACACATTACATTTTGCAGTTAAGGAGATTAAGAAAATAATCTGGGTTTGGAATCTCTTCCGAAACTGTAAGTGAAAAAAAAAAAATATGCAAAATGAATGCCTGGTTTTAAGAAATAGGTAGCTGCTTAGAGTAAAATAAGCCCAGATCTTAAATGCTTTACGCAAATGTGTGGGACAAAATTGCCTATAGATTCCCCTGCTCTCCCCTCCGAGTTCTGCAGATAGTCTTTTTTCACAAAGGTCAAACATTTCCTTATAGAAACACAATAAACTGATTACAGAATAGTATTCAGTTCTATAGTTAGTCTCCAAGTGTCAGATCACAATACAGTTACAGTTTCGGAAGAGATTCCAAACCAGTTTTCCTGGTATCTTGAAAAAGAGCAGTATCGAGCTCTCTGTCATCAAGACCTCCCAGTCTCACAGTACAACCACCAGTAATGTCATCATCAAATCAGGCCAGGGGTCTATTTTACATTATGAGAAAACCCCTGTACATCACACAACGCACCCAGTTTGAAAACAAATTTTTGCCAATTCATTCAGCATAACATGTCTGAGAACCCAAAGATGCCACTGAGGAATTAACAAAATATTTTAGTAGTAGAATGATATTAATAACTGATAACTTTCAAAATACTATTTTTGAATGCATCATTACCGCTACAACAGTATCCCTAAAATCACATTTGTATTTAGAGAGAGGTTTCCTTACAACTTCAAGAATAGCAGAAAGTTTGTTGCAAACAATAAACTTCTACCACTAATAACAAATATTTCACAAACCCACATTTATTTCCTATCAGTTACTGCTACGATGCTTCAGTGTCTTTATTTTATCCTTCTTTTATAAACCCCTAAGTGTATTAAGCCAAATTCTGTGTCCTTAACCAAGCAAGATATAAGTTAAGATAAAAATTTCAAAACTTGACCCCAAACATTTCAAATAAGAAAAGTGTTATAACAGTTCGCTCTAAACCAAGAACAGCTTCTACAGTATGAATGTGAGACTCCTCCAATTTTCTCTACACTTCATTAGTCTCCAGGTAATGGAAGCAAAACACAGAAAGTGTTGAGTTACTGTGCTGTGAACAAATTCAACATTTGAGCACACTCAGTTCAAATGATAAACTATCTAAGTGAGAGAGACAAACGTCTTGAAAAGTTAAACTTGTAAAATCATTGACTCAGCCATGACCATCCAAAATAGTGTTAGGCCACAAAAGAAAAAATGGTAAGCTTTGGATACACACAGAAGTCAAAACTGCCTTTTTTTTTTTTAATTGAAAGTGCACTGCTAAAACAAAACAACAAATTACCAGTATCACAACAACAACAACAACAACAGGCATAGAACCAGGTTATCGACTAAAACCTCGACTCCGTTTCCCCACGAACCCGAAGAGGCGGAGCCGGGGGGAGGCGCGGCCCCGCGGGCGGGTGCGCGGG